ATACGTCGATGTAGAGCGGGAAGGAGACCCACCTCCAGACGCGAACGTGCCGGCGCCTGCTGCGGACCTCCCTGGCGATGATGACGACGACAACATGTCGCCACAGGAGCCGCCGCCTCCAGCACCAACGCCTGCAGTCCAGCCACAGCCGGAACCGGAGATCAGCCAGGCTGATATCAACAGTCTCCGGAATGCTCTCCAACCTGATGGCCCTGCTCGCCCACGGGCGCAAGCTGCCTCTACCCTGCCAGAGCCAGAGTCCGAAGGACGTGGCCCGGCCTCTGCCGACGGGCAGTCTACGCCGACCGCCAGGACGGGCACGGCTGCTGCCCACGACCCTCCGCCTCCGGAGGGCGAGCCGCCAGCTCAACGACCGCGGCTTGACCTCTCTGCCCCGGGAGCTGTCGACAGGCTGGACGGCCATCCTTCGAGCAGTATGCGTTGGCAGCCGAGGGAGAGCGGAGGCTGGCAGCCTGCTGCTTTCTCTTATTCTGATATGCTGGCAGGCGCGTCGACTACAAGTACGGCGCCTTCTACTTCTACTACATTACCTACGTCATCTCATCATCATCCGCACGACAGAGACGACGGCGAGGGATGGTGGAGGAGGTCAGTGGAGGAGGCAGTGTGGGAGAACACGGGTGCCAGCATTGTTCTACGAGGAGGAGGTTGCAGATTTGTTCGGTGACACAACAGACAATATCTTCTGCAATGTGTTTTTCGAAAAGGACAAGGCAACAGGGCTGACAGCAGCCAAGATGCAGCGCAAGAGCGAGATACCACGACACAAAATACCAGAATCTCAGTGGCCGCGCTTCCACGAGGCGACTGTGAAGGAGTGGAAGTCTGTGTTGCCGACAGGAGCTGCGACCATCATCTCTCCGCGGGCGGCTGAGGACATCCGCAAACACCACCCGGACCGCATTCTTCCTTCTCGCTACGTGCACTCAGACAAACCAAGCGAAGGTCTAGGCTCTTTTCCAATTGCAAAGTGCCGTTGGTGTGTCTTAGGGCACAGAGACCCGGACATCATGGAACTAGCAAGAGCAAGTCCTACACCCCAAACCAGTAGCATGTACGTATTCTTACTTGTAGCTGCATCTTTACAGCGCGAGGTTACATTTGGTCATTTGAAGACGGCTTTCATGCAGAGCGACAAGGACCACGGCGACAGACCACGTGGCAAATTGTACGCTTCTCTTCCGCCTGGCGGGATCCCGCTCGAGGACGGGACCTGGGTGGAGGCCGGCTCTCTGATCCAGCTCAACACCGCCGTGTACGGACTCGTCAATGCACCGGCTGCTTGGCGCAAGACGCTGGTACGAGCAATAGAAGATCTAGTCTACAGGAGGTCATGCTACGATCCGTGTGTTTTCTGCCTGATGACGCCCAAAGGTCCAGATGGGCATCTGTTGATCAAAGTAGACGACATTGCAGCTCATGGCAATTATATTCACGACGAGAAAATGCGATGCCTACAACAACGGTTCCGGTTTGGAAAGTGGAAGACGATATACGGCAGCGAAGGTGATTATGCTGGTCGTACCATACAGCAACACAAGGATTACGGATTCCACATCCACCAGGCGAAGTTCGTCGTAGAGCGCCTGTCCCCGATTTCCATTCCAAAAGGGCGCAAGTCTAACAAGAACGACCCTACGACTGACGGCGAGCAGTCCCAGCTCCGAGCGGTGTGGGGAGGTGTGAATTGGGTGCAGAGAGAAACGCGTCCAGACGTATCTGGGCTTGCCTCCCTAAGGATAGCGAGGATCCGTGTGCGTACTGTCCAGGATCTGTGTGATGCGAACGATTGTGTGGCTTTCTTGAAAAAGGAGCCCAAGCTAGGCATTCTGATTCCACACATACCGCCTCACCTGCTGCGATGGGTTACTATCCAGGACGCTTCTTGGGCCAACGCCGCCGGCGACAAGAGCCAGGGAGCCTTCCTGGTCGGTGCTGCGACCCCGGCGCTGTGGGAGTACAAGACAGCTCCGGTTGCTTTGGTGTCGTACAAATCACACCGTCTGCCGCGCCTGGCTGCCAGCACCCTTGCGGCAGAGACGCAGTCCATGTCGGAAGCCCTAGCAGAAGTCGAGTGGATCCGCGGTCTCTTCGAGGAGCTTGTAGAGCCATCTTTCGACATCGTCAACTGGGCTTCCCGCGCCCGCCACAGAGGCCTGCTGGTAGCTGGCCGGACAGCAGACCCGAACAAAGAGCTGCAACAGTTGCTCACGATCTGTGACGCCAAGTCGTTGTACGATCATTTACACAGCGAGAGCGCAGGATGCACGGCAGACCGCCGGACAGCGATCGAAATACAGATCATACGTTCGTCACTTGACGCTCAAAACGGGGACGTTCGATGGGTTGATCATTCCGGCATGTACGCCGATGCTATGACAAAGCGAAACGGCAACCTTCCATTGTTGCAGATTTTGATGCGTACCGGCCGGGTGTGCATCACAGAAGAGTCTGCTACCTTGGAGAAGCACCGGCTGGACCCGAAGACCCGCAACAGTCAAAGTAAGACGCGGTCAGACCCTGCACAGAGCAGCGGTGTGTAGAGTGCTGAGCTCAGCGCCTGCACCCATGTTCAGACTACGAACTCCACTGAAGCGGCGTGCTAACAACTACGCTCACCTCATCATACTCACATTCCGTATCTACCCAACGCAAGGAACAGTTGTCTGTATCCGTGGTGGCTCGCGAACCGTGTGCTGTTCAGCCTAGCGGACATTGTCATCATGTTCATTATGGTCTACACTCATATATCCATATCCTGTGAGTGAGGGGCTGTAGATGAGAGACCACAAGGCCAACAAGAGTTTGGGGCGTGTGTGGAGTAGCATTGCAATCCTATTGTCTTTCCCCCTCTTGGCCTCGTGCTCCTCTTCCCCCTGCTGCTGCCTCCATGCTTGCATCCATGGCAATTTCGGCACGGAGGGCCCTTGAGTCGTGTGGCACGCTGCGCACAGAAACAGGTTGCACATCTTCATGTTGCATAGCACTGTTTCGACACAGGGTGGGGTGGGGGACTAGACACCTTGCCATCTGGTGGGAGGGGGGGGGGAGGGCAGACCCTGGACCGCATGTATGTCAGAGGCCTGTTGTTCCTTGGCGGTCCGGGCCAGGGGCTGCGGTTCGTCCTGGACGCGTCTCATCTTGCCATTGGGGGGAGAAACAACCATGGCTCGAGCGATCTGGCGATCGAGAAACCGCCGATGTTTCAAGGTTGAACGATCCACGCGGTGTCAGAAACTGCAGCCAAGACGCTGAAAGAAGGACCGCTTTGGGTTCGGAAGGGGCTCGATGTTCCTTAGGTCCTTCCGTGGTTGTTCCTCTAGCCATCCTCCTGCACCCAGGCGCTCTTGGGATGAAACAAGGGTTTCGCCCTCTATGTTGCGTTCCTTCTTTCAGCAGCCCGACTGTAACGCCGAAGGTGTCACGACACGAACCAGGCTCGAGCTAAACGGTGTTTTGGCGATCTCGTGGACCGTTTCCGTTTCGGTTTCGGCTTGCGGAAAAGGCAGAAGGAAAACAGAACGGAGGAGCACGAAAAGAAAGCGAAAACGGAAATAAGCGTTCAGCTCGAGCCCTGGAAATAACCACACCCGCTTGGCGGAGGAAGCCGCCCCAGGCGCCCCCCTCATGGCTGAGGGGGCGTCCCTGTGAGGGCGCCAGGGGCGGCTTCCTCAGCCCAGCGGTCGTGGTGCCCTCTTGGGAGGCGGACCAGCTGGATCCCCAGGTCCGAATCTACGGTAGGTTCGCGTCGTGTAGACCGGCGGCGACCCCGTTGCCGGCATTCAACGTGGAATGCCGCAAGCGACCCAGAATCAGTCGATGTCAAACGATCATGTCAAACGATCTGACGTTTCAGAAACGGACTATCGTTCAGGGTTGAACGATCCCAATGGTGTCAGAAACCAACGCCGAAGTCGGCAAGACACGATCTTGCCGTAATTACTTCAGGCGCCTTCCCATTTCAAGGGTCGAGTTTTTGTTCCCTCTTCCTGCTCGTCAGGGATCGGGCGGTGATGGGGATCCAATGTGCTTTCAATTCCTTCCTACTTCACGTGTCTGCTCTCTTCTTCCAACCGATTCTACCTCGTCTTGCCTTCGCTCCTGACTTCATTTCCCAGACATCTTTGGCCGCCCCCTCCCTGGACCCGTTCTGGAGTGTCCTGGGGCCCGACAGCTCACGGGCCTCGGAGGCCGACACCGGGGCAAAGCTCGGCGGCGAGAAAGCTCGGAAGTCCCTCCGCCTCCTGCCCCCAGCTGTTCGCTCCTTTTTGGGGCACACGGGGCCCTCGGGGCTCGGGGCCCCGTGCGGGGTGCCCTGGAAGCCGTGGGGCCCCCGCCTTGGAGGTCCTGGGGGCGCCACGGCATGAACGTGAGCCCTCGGAGCTCTCCGCCCCCGACTTCCCCCGAAGACACAGAGAACCTCTCAGAAGGCAGGAGGGCTTCTGAGGAGTCCCGCCGCCTTCTGAGAAGGCCTTCTCCTTCTCTCACTTCCCCCAGTCGCCCGCCGCCGAAAAACGCCCGGATCAAAAACAAAAACAGATCGTCGGAGATTTGGTTTCGTACCTCGTAGAGCTCTTCGGAATCGATGAGCTAGAGGAATTCCGGCGCGGGGTGGAGCTAGTTGGCCGACCCGGCCCGGGCGGACAATGTGATGACCTGGGGTCGGTTGGGCGAACATTGTGAGAGATTAGACCGTTCGTTTTGAGAACCAGTGTTTTGCTCACGTGTAGTGGGTTATGCCGCTTCTGTCTGTCAAATTCTCAGGTCTGTAGCTGCAATATTACTGTCAAAAGACTTGGAGGAACAGACTTCGTATAAAACACCCAAAATAAATGTTTCGAGTTTTTAAGCTGAGTTTCGAGAAAGCTTATCCTCATAATCTGAGCTATTTTTCGCGTGTTAAGAGCTCCACGAGGGTCCCGGCGGTAACCTGGTTGACGGTTTACCGCCGGCTCCCAGTTTCGTTCTGGGCCCACGAGGCCGACCAGCTGGCCCACGAGGCCGACCAGCTGATGCGCCGCAGGGGCGTGTCGACAGACCTCCAGCTGCGCGTGGAGCAGGACTCGACCACGCGCAGAGGGGGGCAGGGGTGGGGGGGGGCTAAAGCTTCGCAGAAGCACCACTGCTTCTTGGAAGGCGCGGGCCTTCTCTGTAGATGTAGGGCCGGCGCATTCTAAGAAGCTGCCTCCTTCTGAGGAGCTGTCCCCCTCCCCTCTGCCCCCCTGCGCGCGCGGGCACAGGACCTGCGCCGCCGCGTGCGGCAGGAGCGCCAGATGGCATCCGCGGCGGGCCTCCTGGGCCGGCTGTCTCCGGCGGTGCAGAGGGAGCTGTCCCTGGAGCTGCTGAGCTCGGAGGGGGGCGGGTCGAGCCAGCGGCGGCTCTCCCCGGCGCGCTCTGCACCGGCTCAGAGAAAGCGCGATGTCTGCCTCTGTTTCGGGCCCCAGGGCGCTCACAGAGAGCGGTGCGGCTCGAACAGCGTGCAGCAGGAATCGGGGGTTCGAAGTTGGAGTCCTGAGGGATGGGGTCCTGAGAGCGAGGTGCCTCAAACGATGTGAATCCACCCTTGGATCCCTTCCTATCCTTGGGACCCCATCCCTCAGGACCCCATCTTTGAACCACCGAAGGAAGATGGGGTCCAGGGCTCCCGTCGAGTTCTGCGACGACGCGGCAGGTCTCAGGGCTCGCTCTGTTTGGGGGGCCTGCCGGAGGCGTCTCGCCGCCACGGCCGGAGCCGCCTCGAACAGCGGGTCAGGCCCCTGAGGTTCTTGGTGCCTGTGGCATCGCAGAGCAACATTTGGTGTGCACCAGAACTTTCGGAGGTCCGCGCGGACCTCATGGATCGGTGCCAGAGCCCCCTCCCTGGAGCGCGGAGCTCGGGGCACAGAGCGGGGGCGTGGATCAAGTCCCAGCCTCCAGCCTCCGAGGCTGGACCGAAGGTTGGTGATGGCCGCTTTGCATCGCTCGGCAGGAAGTCCTGGATCATCGAGCGAAACAGCACGCGCGAAACCGAGAAGTGCATGGGGTATTGACGTCCGAGCGATGGCAAGACAGAGCCTTCTCGCCTGCCAAACATGCCCAGAGGCCTCCGGGAGCCTCCGGGCACCTTTGCCACGTAAGGAAGCTTGTTGCAGACCTATGGAGGGACATAAACTTCTGGCGACTCGGACCACGGCTCGTCGCATGTGCTCGCCATCTGAAGCTTGCGGGGGTCACTTCCGTCCCCTGGGGACCGCCCCGAAAAAAGGTCCAGGATGCAAGCCCGGGCCCCGAGGAGGTGGGCGAGAGCTCCGGGGAGAGGTCCGTGGGACCGACCTTGAGCGAATTTGAGCCAGGCGGGGGGTGCGGGGGAGCCGATTTCTTCCAAAGAGTTGCCGATGGCGCGCGATTCTGCCTTCGCGTCCTTCCAGATGCTTTGCTACGCGGCGATGTCGAAAGTCGCCATGAATGAAAGGGGTCCTGAGGGAAAGGCGTCATGGACCCAAGGGCTTTTCCCATGAACAGTTCTTCATCCAGAGTTGTTTTTGAACCCTCACGGGGCCAGTGGATGGCCCCAGGGGGTCGAAGGCGGCAAAAAGCTTCAGGACCCCTTTCCTTCATGCTCGTGGAGGCTTGTGAGGAAAATCCAGGAGGCTTCGCGCGGCGCGCAATAGTTGTATTGTCTACTCCACACGTCCGCCTCCTCAGATGTAGGACAACGTTCGCGCAGTGATGCTCCGACGTGAATCCGACTGAACCGAAGGTAAGTCCGACGTGGGCCCGACGGAAATCCGAAGTGAATCCGACGCGGATCCAACGTAGATTGGGTCTCAAGTTGCCGCGCGAGGCCCCCAGGATTCCGCCCGTAAGTTTCATGATAATTATGGAGAGGGCCGTCGATGTCTCAGCTGCCAGTGGTGGACTCTTCTGCCTTCCGCGACATCCGCCGATATGAGTGTTGTCCGTCTGCGGCCCGCCCTTCCCTGGGGTCTTTTTTCCGTTCCAGGTTCCTTCGTGATTGTCCACGGGCCCAGAAGTTCGATGTCCAGGGGTGATGACTAGGGGGGGTCGATATCATGGCGAGGGCCATGGATCTCCCCAGATTTCATGGTGCCTCTTCTTATTGAATCGCTTCGCTCATTTCGCCGGCCCATTTCGCATGACTGAGCCTCTTGGGGCCGCTGGGGGGCCTCTTCAGCGTCGCTTGGGGGCCTCCTGAGGGCCTCTTGGGGGCTTTTGGGGCCTCTCAGGGGCCTCTTGGGGGCTCCTGGGGGCTTCTTAAGGCCGAGGGCTCGAAGTTTTGTTTTGTGTTCCCCCTTTGGGGCATCGCTTGGGGCCCTCTTGGGCCCCTCTTGGGCCGTCTTGGATGCCTCTGGGGCCGTCTTGGAGCCCTCTTGGGCCATCTTGGGGCCTTCTTGGGAGCTTCTTGGGCCCTCTTGGGGCGATCTTGGGGGCCTCTTGGGCCGTCTTGGGGCGTCGGGAAGCCGAAAAGATGGACACGCCAAAATCTGCCCAAAACCTAAGGAAAAGTCATGAATTTTGCCTCTTGGGGCCCTCTGGGGAGTGCTCTTGGAGGCCTCTTGGGGCGTCTGGGGGCCATCTTGGGCGTCTTGGAACGATCGTGTGGCATCTCGGAGCACTCTTGAACCATCTTGGAGGGCTCTCTGGAGGGCCACGGGGGCGGCGCCCAGGAGGAAAACCATCTCTGACCCGAGTCTGCCGGGGATCGCCTGGGGTACTTTTCGTCCGGGGACCCCCAGGGGCCGCCCCGCGCGCGCGAAGTAGAAGTATTATTTAGCAGTTACCGGAGATCTTAGCACGCCTCTGGCCCGTTGGGCCGTCGAATTTCAATGCGTCCCTGGCCCCTCTCTGGGCCACACACATGCCGACGGATGATTGGCGGACCCACCTCTCGGACGCCCCCCTCGTGGACGCCCCCGAGAAGCGGCCCTCCGAGGGCCGAAACCTTGGGGAAAAAAATCCCAGATCGAAACAAAGGCATGAGCGAAGCAGACAAACAGAGCCGTTTGCGCGGACAAGGTGCCCTCGCTTCCAATGTAGCGTTCCTCGCTGGCGGCCTGCGTAAGCCACCGCGTAAGGTTGCTGTTTCATGTCGCGTAAGACCCGCTTCTTTTCGCCGCTCCTATCGTCGCAGATCCAAGTACGGGAAGTTCGTGTCGTGTGGACGCGGCGGCGAACCCGCCGCCGGAGTTCCAGACTGACCGCCGCCAGCGGCACAGAATCGGCCACGATGCCAATATGGAGCGATCAGGCGATCGAGAAGCCGCCGGTTCTTCAAGATTGAACGATCCACGCGCTTAGTAGGCCCTGGAAACAGCAGGGCCGTTTTTCACCGTTTCCTACAAATGGCTTCTTGAAAGTGGAGACGGTAAAAAAAAGCAAACGAAAACGGCAAAAAGACGGCTCTGGAATTTTGGAACCTGAACTGGAACGGGCAACGAAAACGGCGGCGGAATTTGAGAAATAACGGCGCTGGAACCGGCAACCGAAACGGCAAAACGGAACTTGTAAAAGAACGGCCCTGTCGTTCCCAGGCCCTTTCGGGTCCATTCGGTGTCATAAGCGGACCCCGATGTCACCACGACGGCGAACCTGCCGCGCGCGGCCGTGGCGGCAGGGGCCGTCGCGCGGCCTCGGCCGGCCCCGCCTCTGGTGAGCAGCGTCGTGTTGCGGTTCCCGCTGTTCCGCGCGGCGCCGCGGGCGTTCGTGGCCGAGATCGCCAGCGCCCATGCCTGGGTGCAGTGCGCCCCAGGCGACCTCGTCGTCGAGGACGGCCCTCCTCTCGTCGACTTCAAGGGTTAGATTGGGTCAATACAGTCAACCCTCATAGTAAAGATGATGAACTTTCCTAGGTTACCCTTTCATCCGCTCGCAAAGTGTCGAGATGGCCTTCCAAGGCCGTTGCATCCTTATCGTGCGTCCTCTTTTTACGGGTTGACTGTATGGCAAACGCGACCGGGGCCCTCTGGGTTTCGAGGATGGCCCCCTTCTTGGCGACTGCAAGTGATATGTTAAGCGAAGAAAGGTACCACGACCCCCCACAATCGGCGTTTTCTAAATGACCCTGGACGTTTACTGAACAGCCCTGGCCTTTTGTCGATCCCTTCCCTGTGTGCGTTTACTCAAGGCTTCGCTCGTCGGGGTGCTTCTCATGAGTGGGGTTTGTCTGCCCTCTGGTCTGGTTACGCCGGGGTGTGGTTTGCGATCTGCGTCGTTGGGGCTCGGGAGGGGCACCACGTTGCCCTCGTCGGGCCTCCTCGGGGTGCGGCGGAGGACTCCGTCGAGGTCCTCGCCCGCCGCCCAGGGTACGCGTTGCAAACAACAACACCCGTCGGAAGGCCTCCTCGGAGCGCGGCATAGCACTCCGCCGAGGTCCTCGCCCGCCGCGCAGGGTACGCGTTGCAAACAACACCTTTCAGAGTCGCCGACCTATCTCTTCTGGGGCGGCTGAGAGGACGGTGATGACTAGGGGGGGGCTATCATCCAGGGCCTTCTGACTTCTCCTCCCCAACCTATCCCCTCTCCTCTCCCTCCCCCTCCCCCTCTTCACTCTCCTCTTCCTTCTGCTCTGGGCCATGCACACCCGCTCTCCTCCTGCCATTCCGTCCTCGACCTGATCCTCCGTCCGCCCTCCTCCACCATCCTGCCTCTTCCCCCTCACCCTTCCTGAAACCACACGCTGGGCTTCTTCGGGCGCATGCAGCGGCCCGTGCATGGCGCCCCGCGCGCGCTCGCGGCGCGCGCGCGGGGATAGCTCCCCTGATTTCAGGGCGCTCTCTTCTCATTTCGATGCGCCGCGTCGCTACGATAATCAGGCTCGCGTCGTATCGACTGGCGGTGACCCCGCCGCGGGTGTTCAACGCTGGACGCCGCCGGCGACCCAGAATCGGTCGATGTTGAACGATCTGACGTTTCGGAAACGGCCGATCGTTCCAGGTCGAACGATCCCCGCGGTGTCAGAGGCCCACGCCGAAGTCGGCACGATCCGAAACTGCTGTGCGTCCCCCCTGGCCCCCCCCCTGGGCCGCGCACGTGTCTCGGGCCACGACTGGCGACCCATCCGCGAGGCGCGCCCTGTGGCTGTGACATCCGGCGGCGCCGCCGCCCTGGGGACAGTCGGTCTGTCGGTCTAGGACCACGAGCGCGGGGGGGGGGGGCATCAGAGCCAGCCCACAGCGCAGAGGCGGCGCCGGGGCGCCGACGACAAAAGCAGCGAGAGAATACGGCAAGAGAGCGCGAAGAAGAGCCGGGACTTCCTCCTCGCACCCCCAGGGGTGCGGCGAGAGGAGTTCCCAGCGCGGGCGGAGAGACTGCTCGGGGATTCGAGGCCTCGAGGCTTCGAGCATCGAGGCCTCGAGCATCGAGGCCTCTGGGTCCAACATCCTCGATCCTCGATCCCCCATCGATCGGGTACAGGGCTAGGACGAGGATAGACTATAGATCCGTTCCAGAACTTTCTGAGAAGGCCGTGGCGCCCGAGACATCCTCCAGACCGCCGGATCTCAGAGATTCCCGATTGATCCTCACCCGATTTGATCCTCGTCCTGGCTTCGTCTTACTGTGGAGTGCTCAGTGCCGTGTGCAGCTGGTTTCCGCCCCAGCGCCAGGCAGCTTACTCGATGACCCTAGAGCCCCTGATAATCACAGAGTTGTGATGGATCATACATGTTTCTCCGTGCAATTCGTATGTACGATGATAGTGATAATGGTGAAATGGTGAGAATACCCTAGCCCTGCCACACGTCCGTGATAGCGTTGCCACTCAGCATAAGAGAGTAGCAACTTCGATTCGCAATTTCCCTGGAGGTAATGTTGTTCGGTCTCGCCGCCCCTTTTCCCCCGACCAGCTCTGTCTTGGCCTGGGATAATCAAGTCTCAGGAGGGAGGTCTGCTTTATTATCCAGGGTGCTCGGCTACACGGTCGCTCCCAGCGCCTCCAGGCGCCCACAAAACCAGCTACACGCTGTTGATTTGCTAACATCCCCCTTGCCTGCCCTCCTGGGTTGCGGCTCTTGGGAGGTTGACTTCAGCATCGGCGTTGGTATATTCAGGATCGAGGGCCAGCCTGATATAGCACCATCCAATGTCATCAGGCCCGATCCCGCGTAGTCCATCTTGATCCCGGGCTTGATCAGGCCTGATAGCTTCCCACAGGGGCTTGATAGTCACAAACATGTCCACGAGGGCCTCCCAGAGTTTGCCTCCTCACCCCATCATTCCCTCTTGTCCCCCTCGCCCTCCAGGAGGGCCAGGTGATACAGGAGGTGGTCTTCCTCGTGCACGGCCGTCTGCTGGTCCACCGCTCCGACACCGCGCTCCCCTCCCCCGCGTCGCCCTCCTCGCCGCGCATCTGGCGCTCGGAGGAGGCAGACGGGAAGAGGGAACATTCGGCGGCGGCCTCCCGGAGCTTCGTTTTCAGATCATCACGCATATTCACGTATACATATATGTAGATAGAGAGAAATGCACACGCGCATTCTATATGAATACATGTGTGTAGATTTGGCTTCCTGGTCGCAGCTCGGACAGCCGTCCACGATGAACAACGGGAGGGGTCCAGGGACCTGCCTCGAGTGGACTTGGGTCCAGAGGCGGATGCTGCTAGAGGTGGCCATGGCCCAAGGAGCCCCCAGGATTCCCGAGAAGGCCCCCACGGCCTCCAGAGCACCCCATCTCGAGGCCCAGGGGTCCTCAGAAGGGCTCCCAAATGGAGCGAAACGCCGGGGGCAACCCTGGGCGGGGTGGCGCGAGGGGGGTCGGCAAAGTCTTCTTACGGATCCCGGACCCGAGACATCCCTCAGAGTCGCTGGATCTCAGAGATTTCGAATTTATCCTCACTCGATGTTATCCTCCTCCGGGCTTCGTCTTAGAGGGGGATCGGCGAAGTCTTCCTACAGGTCTTCCCAACACACTTCTCGGGAGGGTCCACGCCGTGCCTACTCCGAGCGTCGCCCCCCTCGCCCCCTCCCTCCCCCTTCTGTTCGTCCTCCTCGTCCTCCTCCTCGTCCTCGTCCTCGTCCTCCTCCTCCTGCTCGTCCTCCTCCTCCTCCGCCCCCTCCCCTCCTCCCCCCGATCCGATCCGATTTGAGTACTGTGGCTTCCGATTCCGACTCGATTGCACTTCGGGGATTCCGATTCTTTCATGGAGATCTACTAGCCTGCTGATTTCCGCCGATTCTACTTTTCCCAACTAGGTTGCCGATTTACGCCGATCAGATCCATGACGATCGCCGATCCGACTTATTCGATTCTGAGCTCTCCAGGGAGCATTTCAGAAAATCGCAACCCGCACCCGAACACCCGCCCTACTTGGGTTGGTTTTCCGACTTACGGTGAGTCGGACATGCACCCACAACGGTGCGAAGAAGTAGGGGGAAGCTCCCGCCTTGGAAGACTGGCGCGGACATTCCCGCTAATGTATCGCGGAGCTCGGCATTAGAGGAGCCTGACAGGAGGACGGACATCTCCGCCCGACTCACGAGACCGCCGAAGGCACGCTGGATCCGAAGTCAGGTCGGGGGCCCGAGGCCAGGGGGAAACGCCCCATGCGACAAAAATGCAACGCACTGAGCTCGGGGCAGGAAGCTTCTTTCCTTGGCATCGCTCGGACGTGTTAATTCTTTCTCGGCGAGGCCAGCGCAAGGAAGTCTGGACCGTCTTGGAGCATCTTGGGTCATGGCGAGGAAAAAACACACCCGCACGACACCCAGCAATGCGCGAGGAATGGACGTCCCAGCGATGGCAAGCCTCTCTCCCTCCCTCCCACACGAGGCGGAGGTGCCCGAGGGCCGCGGGGACGCCGCAGATGGCGGCATCACCGCGGGGTCACGGGCCGAGGGCACCAGGGTCGAGATCCAGCGGGCCTCGCGGCACATCCTGCCGCCGACCCCCTGGCGCTCTTCCTGTCTGCGCCGTCGGGGCTCAAGGGATGGGGGTCAGTGCAGTCGGGGGTCAGCCAGGGTGCCAGATCTTCCCGGAACCTGCAGAGCCAGGGCTGCATCGACCCGAGCTTGCGTGCAGGATCCTGCAGGACCTTGCTCGGGGGCGGCCAAGAGTGGGGTGATGACTACGGGGGTGTGGATCTCGTGACGGGGGCCAGGATATCTCCCCAGATTTCATGGCGCCTCTTCTTACTTCAATGCGTCCCTGGCCCGCGCACATGCCGGCGGCCATGATTTGCGCCGCCCCCTCTTGGACGCCCCCCTCATGGCCGCCCCCGACTCGCAAGCCTGACTGTCCCGGGTCTGCACTGACCTGGGCCAGTGCGTCCCCGATGCTGTCGTCTGGAGCCCCTTGGACCCCCGGGAGGCCGTGGTCCTGCATGCCCGCGGCGCCTCGTGCCGCCGACCCCCCCAGCTCATGCCGTCTGTGCTGCTGTCCGGAGCCCGGAGGATGCTAAGTCCATGCGGAGCGGGCGGGTGGTGACGGGTGGTGACTTAAACTCCAGGCCTCCTAAATCGGGTCGGAGTAGATGGTGTCGGAGGATGGCGCCGCATCGCCGATGCATCGCCGATGCGACTCGATGTGGAGCCCGATTTGCTTCACGTCGACGTCGCCGATGCATCGCCGACGTCGACGATGCGTCGCCGGTGCATCGCAGCGCTATCCTCCGACCCCCCCATTTTCTCAGACCCCATGAAGCAGGTCTCTAGCATATCGGGGGTGAAGACAAGGGCCCTCAAGGGCCTCTTTAGGGCCTCTTTGGGGTCACTGCGGACTCCCAGCGGGGCCCCACTAATTAGGGCCCCACCAGGGTCCGTCTCTTCGCCCCCCGCCTGGGTCACCCCTATGAACGCCCGTCCGTGCGGAGTGCTCTGTCACCGCCCGGGGTTATGATGTCCAGACTTCGCCCGTCCTGATAGCGTTCTGAGGCCGTGCGGGGCAAGACCGCACGGAGTGTTCGGTCTTCGTCCAGACCTAATCCGTCCGCCCGTGGCCCCTCCTGGGGAACCCCGCTGGGAGGATCGCCGCGGGGATTGCTGAATGGATCTGGGGGTTATGAGCGGACGCCAAGGTGGGTTATATCTGGCCCGGGCTGGCTCAGAAGAGGGCTGCAAGTGCACCAGGTGGCTCACGGGTGGTCGCATAACTTCGCGAAGTGGACGGAGCCCATTTGGCCAGGTTGTTTACGCCCCCTTCGGCAGGGCACGTGTAAACCACTTGTAAGGCAAGCTGGGCCAGATAGAATCCACCTTGGCATCCGCTTACAAGCCTCTTATCCACTTAGCAATTAGCACTCTCCCGGCTGTGATGTCAGCGGGACCCCAGGGAGGCGGTGGGGAACCGATCTTCCTGGACCCCCAGGAGGCGGTTGGTATGGACAGATCCTCGCCTGGCATAGTTATGCTGTTTTCTCTGCTTGTCAGGTGCCTCTCCGCTGCACCTGCCGCGGAGTCATGCATTCTTCGAGGTTCGTGCAGTCATGGCTTGCTCAGAAACAATCAATCCGCCGACCCACCAGGGTGTGCCGTAGGGGGAGCTCCCTGCGAAGGCGCACGACCCGTGTGAGGGGAGTGAAATGGGCAAAGGGGGCGCATGCGAACGCCCTGCTAGGGCCACAGGCTGAGCCACCTGCAGGGGGCACCTGCAGGGGGCACGGATCTGTGTCAGGGGCGTGGGGATGCAGGGAGTCGGCAGCTGAGGGATCCGTGCCAAAACGGGAGTCGGCAGGGCTTGGGAGTGTTGAGGCCGAGAGCGATGTTCCCCGCGTCAGGCCGCACGTGAGCGCCCCCTTCTCCTCTTCCCCGTGTGCAGCGTCCGCGCCCTGTGCAGGCCACCCCTCAGGGTCGCATGCCCCTTTTCGCTCGCGACTGAAGCGCAAGACATGGCTCAGACTTGGATCCTTCACGGCCAGGGCGCTGGAATCGGGACCGCTCGGGGTTCCGGGGTGGCTCTGGTCTTCGGGCCGAGCCGTGTTCGTGGCCGAGGCGCGCCATGGCCAGAGCAAGCCCGCTCGCCCCTTGTCCGGCACGCCCCAGGGTA